TCGGGTCACTTTTATGAAAATTTCTAGCATGAGTAATTTTACATCACACTACCGTTCGCGCTCTTTAAGAAACTTTTTCGTTCAAATCTATTTCCATCTCAATGTTCCCATCTTCATTAAAAGGCGTAAGATGACAAAAACAAAATTTTAAAGAACTTCTCAATAATTTGCTTTGGTTATGGTAGGTAATTAGAAGAAAAAATAAAGTGTTACTGTTTCTTATTTGTAGAAGGTTTAAGAAGAAAGACCACAACATAATGAACTAATTCATCACAATACCTGAAAACTCTAACTTCCCTTTGTCTTTCCTTTTACTCCCAATCAACAATCAAATATCTTTAACTGAATTATGAATAACACGAATGGATTAAATTATCTCAAAATAAACCCTCATTTCGGTGCAGTAATGAAATTAGCTTGAATTCTTCATAACCTCTGAATAGTGGGTGACCCAATAGGTCACGGGTTGTCTAGTAACTCCTAAACTGAACAGTCTTGTATATCTAACAACAGTAATGCAATTGTTCTCATGGCATGTGCCTTACCCAAACCACAAAACATTATAATGCCAAATGAAATATAAATACAAAAATGAAACTGACGTTATTTCATCATAATGCAAAATAAAATAAACTCTTTAATAAAGGCAATATATAAATTTGTGCATAGACGTGAACATCACATGAAGGGAATAGTAATGTTCTCTGTACATGCTCATGCATTAAGTTATAAGATAAATATGCTAACTTCCATGTTATCATAAAGAAAAAAAGGCTTACATGATTAATGTATGCTGTTCTATGACAACTATGCACAAAACCACACTGTAAAGGTGACAATTACCAAGTTATCATAAATAAGAAAGGTAAAGTATTTTATATGCACTGTATATAATACTGTGTACAATATTATGAAACAAAAATAATAACCACTATATTATCATGAAAAAGAGAGGCAAAGAATTTCAACTAATAACAACAAAAAGGTGAAATGGTGGAGATAGAAAAAGCAGCCAAAGCTGAGAGTTACTCAGTTTAGTTGAGTCTTAACAACAGAACTTCCAGGGTGGCAGTGGACTTCCTACTACTGGCTGTTATGTGATGGATGATTTCCTCTACCCTTTACATAACTTTCTTGGATTTGACCAGCTTGGTTGATAGTGGGACTGCTGTCAAAGTAGATTTCCTGTTGGAGCTTGTAGGTCTTGTTACAGTGGGAGACTTGAAGATTGCATGGCCACTGTCATTGACTGAGTCAGGCCTTCCTGAACTTGGTTGGACTCAGGCCATCCTTTAGTTCCAGAAGATTTATTTTCACATTGATATGTAGTGGTTCCACCAGGGTGCAGACTCGTTAGATGAAAATGACGTTTTTTGATTGGACATCTTTTAACAAGGCTTTTGGTGATCTATGGCTAACATTTTCACAATATTTCTATCAGCTCTGACTTTGGTGCAACTGGCAATGGTTTGAGGGTAGACATCACTGGTTGTGCAGCAAACACACATGGTTCCAATGGCACACTCAGCATCATTGCTGGGTTTTCTCTCATTTGCCTAAAAGCACCTGGATGACCAGTGATCATTGAGGGCTGTTTGGCCCCAGGATAACTCAGGGCCAACCTATTAATAGTCACAGCTAGATGTCTATTGCATCAGCCAGCAGTGTTGTATCTTCATCCATGGGTACAAATCTCCGTGATTACCAGAGAGAAAACTTCCTGAAATGTCTTCTTCCATTATGTGGCGTGGAGGTGAAGATATTAAGAACAAGAATGAATGTGGCAACACAGTTGGCTAGTGAAAAACAAGATAACCAGAACGGGCTAAGAATTTGATCTTAGTCAGTACTGAAAGTTTAAGGTCAATGAATTTTGATTGGTCAAAGGTCCGGGTAGAAGAATAAGTTTTATCTGTTTTAAAATTACTTTTAAACACGAAGTACTATGCTTATAGGACTACAAAATCATAAAATTAAATTGTGATTAATTTACATTTCTACAGGCTTACATGTCATCATGCATGTATTATCTGTAAATAATGTATCCCTCGCAACTATAAATGTTCCCAGTGATGGTCATAAATTTTAAGATTTAGTGGTTAAGAGAGGAATGGTCTGGGAGACCTCCGCTACTGGTGGTTTAAGAGGACAGACTTACTAAGATAAAAGGGTTTTCCAATATTTATTTATAGTTTATATTGGAATGTTAACTCTTTTTTATCCATGACTGTAAAATAAAAAAAAATTGTAAATGTTGTCTTAAAATGTTGTAACATTATACCTTGATCACTAAAGTCTTGGCTTTCTTATTTTCTGGAGAAAATACATGCCTATAATTGACTTTTGTTCTTGCATTGATTAAAACTGAGTACTATATTTAAGATGCCAGGAAATTTGGGTCTAGAAAGCCTAATCAACCAAACATAACACATTGTTCTCTATTTTTTAAACCAATTTAAAATTTATTGGCTATCTTTAAATTTAATATAATTTGCCTTGATATTTCAAAATAGGAGCGAAACACATGCCTAACAAAATTACCACACGTTGATGTTCGAGATTGTTGTATTATGACATATTTATTTCGTATTTCCCCTTGCGACCCCTGTACCCT